CACTTTTCGATCTCCGCATCTTTGCGGTTAAAGACGTGATGATGCGTAGACTTCTTTCTGACGGTAAACAAAGTTGCATTTTTATTGTTGTTCCATCATCATCCTCATCATCATCACCATCACCATCATCATCACCATCATCATCATCATCACCATCAGCATCACCATCATCATCGTCATCACCATCGTCGACAGCATGACATCAATGTTCAACACCGATACTTCACCGCCGTACAACCTTGATTTATTTGAAAGCCTTATTGTAAAGAAAAGAGTGAAAGTGGACGGGGAAGGAACTTAGTGCTAACTTAACACAATTATTCCGAGGTGCCTACACCTCCAGACATTCACTCAGGCAATCTGGATAGAAACTGACGACAAGAACGCCACTGACATCGGTTGGCAGCCATATCTTGTAGTGTCTCCAACCAGGCACAGTGAGGATCACGCGGTCTTCATCCTGGAAGGCGAGTAGCACCGACAGCACCCAAGCGTTTCGTGACCTCCTTCATACTCCTCCGCCAAGTCAAGGGTTGGCCACCTCTCTGTTTACGCCACTCTGAGTTGGAAATGGAAAACAGCACTCTCTTCGGCAAACGATGGCTCGGCATACGTAACACATGTCCCAACCGACGCAGCTTCTGGTGCTGGACACATTTTTTAATGGAACTACCCGTCGCACAACCGAAAACGCACTTTTTAACTGCCTCGTTACGGATATGCCGACACCAAACCACATGATATATGGTTCTGAGACAACGACTTTCGAACACCATATTTTAGGAACATCTCCAACTGGGAACATATATAATATTTAGCTCTACAAGTGACGATCAGGAACTCCGATACTCCTTACAAATATAACACAGAGTAAGATGTCGTGCAAATGATTCCGGGGAAAATTCATGTTTTTTAGAGTGAAGGCGGGTCTTAAATTCGCACATTTATCGTTTATTGGCATTAGTTGGTTGCTTTATGAAATATTGCTTCTTTTGGCATCAATACAGCTCTTTAGGTTTCTTATTCTGCTTTTCTGTAACCACTTTTAGCTAATTCGAACGGAGATATAGGCAAAATAACGTGACTTACAGTTCAGTCTACTCATAATTTTTCCTCTTATTTGAATGAAATTAGTCGTCACTATTTAAGGAACTCAGTTTACAGTTAAACAATATATCAATTTTAGCGGCATCTTGTGCCACGGAGCTGGAAAGTCCTTAAGTGCAGTGTATCTGAGGCTGGTGAAATGAAGTGCTTTGTGTTCAACATGTAGCAGGGATTGTGGGCGTGTTTTGAGACACCACGGTTTTATTTCCTAGCCTTTGTCGTACAAGCCGTTAGATCAGGAGTTGAAGTAACACTGGGCTTTTTTCACTACCAGTTTGGAAAACCGCATCTGTGGATACAACATAATCAAACCCTTTAGATTTCCATTATTGTTTGGATGTCTTGGTAAGGTTGTCTACAAAAGTCCTTTAAAACAGGGAATATCAGCTTGCTGATATTCTAATGCTAGCTTATGATACTTTGTAAATTCCAAGGAAAGGTCTTGGTTGATTTGTACTAAAAGAAAGTCAATTGGACTCTTCGCATTATTCTCAGCTTCCCGCACGAAGGTTAGCTTTGTGTCGGGAAACTCAGTGGATATCGTAATGTTCTTGTTGGTGGTTGGAAATAGAAAAGTGTTAGCACTCACAGTCACACGAAAAAACTTGTTCACAGTCATTTTGGTAGTGGAGGTTTTTAACCGCGATCTCCATCAGCTGTCGAAGGTAGCTTAATGGAATTCAGAACCCTTCTCACAGCCATTATATTAATGATGAGAATGCCTCCAATACTATGATAAAGACGGAGAAAAAATTATCCACTATTTGTAGCATAATAATTGGGGCTAAATAATCTATGTGCAAGGGTGCTCAAACGCATCCCATTTGTGCTCAGAGGATCTAGCTGCTACTTGGTAGTCTTGGGCTGATCTAGTTGGAAATGACTGAAATTTAATATCTGAGGGTGGCCACTTGCTGTTTGAATGGCAGTGAGACGCCTCCATCGCATCTTATACAATAGCCTCTCTTTGTCCTCAAAGTTTACAGCCGTGATGGATATCTTGTGAAGGCAGCTTAATAAAGCATCTTAGTATTTCTCAAACCCGCAATTGTTGCCAGCGCAAGATAGAAAAAAGGATTCGACTTCTTAAATGCTTGAGGTTGCTTTTTCCATTGACTACTAGTAAAATGAAAACAAGGCTGTTTTCATAATACTAATTATGATGGATGATCTATATAGGTCCTTTCTTTTGGAGACGAAAAACTAAATTTCCAAAGATGGCCCAAGAACGCGATCCAAATATGTAAATCTGTATGACAAGAGTTAATAACAACACTTGATGGACAATTTTATTCTACCTATGAGAGACAACATTGGGATCTAATTTATGTCCGTTTTTTCATAAATGGCGATCAAGAGTCAGAGATTGATAGCTTCTTTACTCTAACTGGCTGTAATCAGACTTGTGAGAACCAGTGAAAACAGTTTTACCAACAAAATGCCCCGAATAAGTTAACATACTGCCGTTTCCGTTATTAAAGGTGTTGAAAGACTGAATAAAATACCGCCCCACTTGGTCCAATATTTTACTACTTGAAAAGCACACCGTTTCTTGACATGACTGGTTATGTCAGAACTCGTACTGATCTATTCATATGAATAACTGGGTAAAGGACAATGAAGCGTATGAGCTCGTATCACATCAAGTGTCCAGGTATGACCAACTTTGACATTTCTCCATTGTTCTTGTGCGGCAGGTTTCCCTAAGTGTTTCCCGGAAAAGTTTGTCAGGAAAAATGGATGCACTTGTTTCGAATGGCTTATGGCCACTAAAAATGAATAATGTGTACTAGAGAGCTCCAGAGACTATTACAAACTGAGTCAGCTGCATTGTTTTTTCTTCCAAAATGTGTCATTGATCACATGAACAAGTGTGATCCTTTTATGGAGTGCCCTTGTGGAGTCGATTCAGGTAGTTGTCGTATTTGACAACTTGGATTACCATTCATTTTTCTTCTTTGCACCATGGGGGAATTATGACATTCTTAAAGCCAACGGAGTTGGTCTTGTTAGGAATCTTCAACCGTTTCGAACCCCACCTGGTGCGAAAAACCGGTTTTAGTGCATCTATGTGTACCGTTTTTGGTATTCTGTCAACACCCGTATTCCGCGAAGCATTAATTTATGTGAATAAAGGTGAATAAACTAGCAGCATTGGCGCACTTGATGAACATCCGCAGGAATCTGTACTCCAGGTCAACCGGTGATCGTAAATCATTTTTTGGTGCTGGCTCTTAAGTGTTGTGCGTGGGATGATTAGGGCTTCTTTCGGACGTATTTAGATTTTGAAAGAAGTGGATATTTAGCGAGCCTGTTTTTGCGACTGATGCTTGTGCATGAGAACGTCATCGAAAGAACTTATATCTCTCTCTGTTACGCTGAGTCAGCCATTCTTTGAAAGCGACGCCTTGGTGTCTTGACATCGAGCGAGCAACGTGAGACGGCTTGTAAGGAGTCGGATTTTTTTGTTAACTTCTGAATCGATGGACTTAAATAAAGCGCCAATTTTCGCCACACTTTTACTCAGCTTTTGTGTAGTCC